TCGGGCCTGGCTGCTGGAGCCGGCCCCGGCAGAACTGCTGTAACACAGGCCATGCATTTTTAAACGCCGATTTCTGGTGACTCAGTCTAAACCCCGGGAGCTATTACTATTAAAGACTCCTATAAAGCCACATGCAGGGCTCTCAGATGTACTTTTTTTTCCCCCTCTACCCTGCACTGAAGCAACTTATGGTATCACTAGGAGGATATGATCCCCCAGCTAACATGACAATAAAGCAGACTGCAGTGGGAAAACAACTTGGTAGCTCTCTAATTAATTTATTATCCAAATTTAATTATTAAATCCCTACAAATCCACTTACTTTAAAAAAGAAACCTTATTCTGCTTCATAATTATCACCCCTTGAACCATCTCTTCACTAGATCAACTTTATGAAAAGGACACATTGCAGAAATTTTCTTCTAGAAATCCAAACTCTATTAACATACAGTATTTTATTAATGAAATTACTCCATTTTTAACAAGGTATCTGGAATCTTAACAGAATAGTCCATAATGAGATCCTCGATTTGAAATTTAAAAAAAATGTTGAGAAAGACTGTACTCAAATTAGAAAAGCAAATTCAAGTATGATGTTGACCAAGCCCACCTGTACATAATGCAAGAGACTGGTGTTTATGGTTACTCTTTTTTTTTTTTTCAACAAGAAAGACAGCTAATAAAAGTCAGTATACCAAAGCCCTTTTACAAAACATTTTACAATTAAAACCCACGTTTAACATTCCTGATGCAGCTGCACAGAAGGGCTTCCCCTCCCCCCACACAACTAAGCCACCTTCTCAGCAGTAGATGTGCATCAATCTCAGTACTAATTCACAAAGAAACATCACAGTACTGATTTAATCCACGGACAGCAGGATTTTATGCTATACTTCAAAAAGAGTATGTTACTTTTTGTTCTCTCTATATAGACTTAAAACACATACCACTCCAGATACAGTAAAAAAAAAAAAAAAAAACCAACGAAAAAAGCCCAACCAACCAAACAAAAAATAACAATACAAAACAAACCAACCCCCACATACCACATCACCTCAGAAACTCACCTACATTGAGATAGCCAGTTATTAATAAGCAAAGGCACTAATTTAGTAGGAGACTCCTAGGAACTTCAGTAAGGCTAGAGTTCACCTAAGAATTTTAAGGCCCACTGTTTATAGCTCCAAGATAAAACAGAGTTTTTAATCAAATACAAATGAAGTTCTTAAATACAGGGTGTAAAGATACATTCTTTTCTTGCGAGTGGGCACTTGAGAAAATGAAATAAACCTACAATACAACAATTTAGGTTGTCTTTTAGGTCACAATTTAGGTTGTCAACTTAGGTATAGTTCCTGATTTCAAGAGAAGTTGCATAAAAGATATAATAGCACCTACTATTACTAGGCCATTAAAAAAAAAAAAACAAACCCACAATTCCTTGATCAAGTATCATTTTTCATCTTTTGGAAAGTTCTGAGAAAAGCAAGCAAAAAACACATTAACTTCTCAAAGAAAGTTTTGCATCGAAGCTCTGCTTTTAAACTTTTATTTTTTAAACAACAACAAAAAAATTTCTCCACTTCGGAAAGTTAGGTTGTTAACATCTTACATTTCAGAATACAAAACTAAAAAAAAAAAACCAAACAAATTATTAAAAAAAAAAAAAAAAAGGCAGGACTTCAGCCAAGTATTCAGCTACTTATTGCTGTAGTTGTAACTCAAGTCCATTTAAACCCCTAGGTTTTGGTTGTTTATAGCAAGGACATGTTTGGAACACTAGCAGCAATAGAAAACCCCTTTAAAACCTAGATATAGTTACACTGTTGAGGGAAAATTAGCAGAAACCATAACCACGGGAACATAGTAAAGCATCCTGTAAAAGTACAATTGAATTGGTAGCTAGAAAAACAAGGTTGATTTAAAGTGCTATCCCAAAGCCTCTCGCAGGCCTATGTCAGTAAAGTCCTTTTTTCCCCACTAGAGAAAGCCCAGAAGCACAGCACTCCTCCAAACAGAACAAATGCAGTTTTCACTCCACCTCAGTGCCCCACCAAAGCCACCATCCCCCAACAAGTGAAATATAGAAACTTGAAATAATTGCTAATTCCAAATTCAGGCAATACCCACAAATGTACTGTTGAACAAAGTTTGGACAGCAAACAGTACACCTGAGTTCAGTCATACAAACTAACTTTTGTAAAGAGCGTTAGACGAGCAACTCCACGTCTCTAGTATGAATCTAGATGTCTCTTCTTACAAAACGAATTAATAGAAATATCCGGGCAAATACATACCATACAATAGCAAAAGCTTTAAGCCTCATTTAATAAGACGACTTTCTGATTAAAAATAGAAGGCAATTAAGATTTACCGAAAATTACAATTAAGAAAAGCTTTCACAGTGCAATATTGAAACTGTCACAAAGTTAAGAAAATACTGATATCAAAGTACAATCACAATGTTAAAGTAGACAAAACTACTATACAAGGGCATATCTTGTAAAATTAAAAGGAATGAACACAACATAGGGGACATCTCGTGTCCCTGCTCTACACATCTTATTTCCTAGCCTTCAGAGTCATAATTGTGTCTTTCTGACAGTGGTAGAAGTCTTATAAAAACTAAGAAGTTCATTCTTCTTTGCAGACCAGATCTCAGAGCCCGAATACTTCTTGAAAACACGGTCTTCATCACTGCACAATTTCAAAGTAGTGCAATATTGCCATGATGTGCTGAGGCATGAACACATAGCCTGTGTACAGTGCCATTCCAACAATGGAAACTAGCATGGAATCTGAATTACAGTTGAGGAAAAAAGCATTTGAAATAGAAAGTGCATTAGACATCACATAACTATAGCCTCAAAACTTTCCTAGTACCTAGCTTATTACGTTACATTTTTAAATCAGGTGGGGTAAAGTGTATTCAGCAATTATAGCCACAGGAAGAACCAGCTGAACACTGAAAAACAGAACAGTGGTAGGAGTGATTAGCTGAATTATGGAAGGATGCCTTGCAACTTATTCACTGCCTTGTCATGGACACAAGGACAGGCCAAAGTGTGGGAAAGGTGAAGGATGAACAGAGATGGACACTGAGAATATGCAAGTTTTTACATGCACCTTCCTAGCTGTTCAGCAAGTCTTGCAGAAGCCAGCTCCATTCAGCCAAGCAGGAAAAAAAAAAAAATCAACTGCCACAAAAAAAAACAAACAAACACCAACCAACCAAAAATGAAACAAAGCAACAATAATGAGTAGCAGTAATGTATAAGAATTCTTATTTGCCAGTAACCTGCACATTTTTAAGCAGACAGGTCTAGATGCTGACCTCAACTTCTTGGAATGGTATGATCTAGTAGATTTAATTTATGATGCACAAAACACACGTGGTACGAAAGTTGTACTGTTACTGTAATAAAGTCAGGAAACCTCAAATCCATTTCTAGCTGCCAGTGTCCTCTATGCTGCAAGTCACAGCTTTATTTGGTTCATTTCTCCATCTGGATGTCATGCTTAGACCCTTCCTCATGGGCAAGCAGCTCGATTTACCTGTTGCTTTGTGGTACTTAGGAAACAGAAACCGCAGGGGAACTGAAAAGTGTGAGTAACATTGTGACATGCACCTTTCTAATTATTTCACTCACAAAGCCTCCGAGCATCAGCAGGGCTTTGAGTCAGGCTGTGTACTGAAATAAACACACGCTCTAGCAATACACTGTAGCAGATCACGCTGCAAAATAAACGTCACATGAAGCTATTTGCTGAACAATGTTAAGATGACTGGTTTTTTAGTTGAACTCCTAACGGGCAACTTTTGTAAAACTGACATAGAGAAGTGAAAAGACAGTTTATAATGTATACCTACAAACGGACCTGGAGCTCTAAGCTTCTTGACACTTTATCCACAGAAAATATGGCATCAGATTACTGAAAGATTATGCCATTCAAAGTTTAAGATTTTGGAAATTCAAAAGTGCTAACAAAATAATAATAACCTTTTGATTTCATCCAACTACCTGCAGAGATTCAGTAAACTTAGACAGAAACACTATAAAAAACACTGGAGATTAACAAGCACGATAACACTGGAGAGCAGCACTCAGGTTCCCCAGGTGAAACCAGAGGAGCTGGGCATGCCCTGCATCTTTGAGAACTCCAGTCACCACAGCAGGCGTGTTAACAAATGCTCTGCAAACAACTTCCTCATGGCGGAGCAGACGTATTGGTTGCACTTAAGAGAGCATACTAGCTGCTTAGTGTATTTTTAGCCCCAGAAGATAATACAACAAGAGGTAATAAAGTGAAGGTCAACTCAAACGCAGGTTTCCGTGTCAGCGCTCCCTCCTGACGGTGGAGCAGAGCCGCAGAGCCGCGCACCGTTAGCTCCCGCAGCCGCGGCCGGCAGGCCTGGCCCGCCTCCCCCAGCTTGGGGACAACAACCAGTCTTGCTGACCTGAGATCACAAGCGGCACTTGTAAGTTAAGTGGCAATCACTTCACTGCGATACGAGCATTTATAAAAATAAACATGCAGGCACACTTTCATTTAGGTTGATATTTTGCACAAGTCAAAAAGCTGCATGGTTAACAGAAGAAAAAAAATACTCATGACTAATGTAATTGCAAAGAAAGCAAATACAAAATTTTCACAGTGATACAGACATTGCCTAAAAAGAGGACGGTATGTTATCAAGGAACATGACATTTTGAGGGTAAGAACCCCCACCTAAACAATTATGCACAATAATTCTACAAATGCTAGAAAAGAGAAACAGTAAGTTATCTCCACTTCTGCTGACTTTACACATGAAAAAAAAATGCCTGATAGCACAGCTGTAACTTGGGCAATCACTTCCATGTTACAGATGTGAGCTCCTTTACAAGGTTGACCAGTATCTCTAAAAGCAGCTCATTGCTACCACATACATCCTTCTCTTTGCTCATGTTTTGGTTAATTTCTCTCTTTGCCTCAACATTAACTGGAGATGGCTCGGGGTCATTCCCATGAGACATTATTTTAAGTCATGATCAAAACAGCCACACTTAAAAGACAAAAATGCTTGTGATGCCGTAACACCACCTGAGAGAATGTAGTACCTGTATGAAAAGGCTGGCTAAAGAAGCAAAGCTATAAATAGTCTTTATACAGGTGCCTCCACAGAAACACCTATCAAGTTCTTTCACTCCAAAAGAACCAAATAAACTTAGCAGCTCAAGGACTAAATACGCCTGTAACAAAAATCATGTGACAGCACCACGCCGCTGCCAGCTTGCAAGGCTTTGCAGCACCCACGTTTACTTTCCACTCGGCAAAAATACAAAAGAGTTCATGAAAGACACCTGTTCCTAACAGGAAGCTTGAGATTTCAGCGCAAAAGGCACGAGAGGGAACAACCTTAACTCCACGGAAGAAAAATTAAAGGAGAAATGACTCCGAGAGATAAGATGATGCCCGAGAAGGGGACAAGATCGCTGGACGCCCCGTGACAGGACGCGGATAGCGCCAGCACGAGGATTGCTCCCCGGCATGGTTGCGCAGGTAAGGAGCCTCAGCCCCTCCCCGGGAGGAGAGAACGAGCCCCGGGACCGGGCAGAGGTC